TAGGGTAAAAAAAATCATGAAAAAATAAGTGAATTGAATACCATGAAATTATTTTGATTAAAGTTATGACAAAAGGTTTATTGATTTGTGTTGTCTGTGGAGTACCAGGGACCGCAGAGCCGGGAGAGGGGGCTGCCTGCAAACGTTCCCCCCCAAATTTAATGCTTAATATGCTTAATTTTCAAATGCCAGCCCCAACTTTTCAATATGCTCCGTGGGCACTGAGTATGTGTTGGTGCATAATGACATGTCACCTTATCACAGCACAGCACAGCACACTACACCTTACAGTATCACCATGCTACATCATACCTCAATCCAACACACACTACACTACACAATACAGTACCACCATAAAAAACCATACCTCATTTCAACACACACCACACCTTAGCTGTTCAACACACACCACACCATCCTACACAATACAGTACCACCACACTAAACCATACCTTAGTTCAACACAAACCACACCTTAGCTCAACACACACCACACCACCCTACACAATACAGTATCACCATGCTACACCATACCTCACTTCAACTCACACCACCCTACACAATACAGTACCACCATGTTGTACCATACCTCACTTCAACTCACACCACGCCACCTACACAATACAGTATACCGTGTTATACCTTTGTCACACCTCACTTCGACACACATCAAACAACACCACCACACCTCACTTTTACATAGCTGCACTTTTCAAATCCAGGATGCAGAATATCCAGCTAATTAAATTATATTCCTTTATTTCTCCTTTTAACTTAAAATTATGTATCACGTGCATGTATTTGATACAGAATTGAATTCTCAAGCAGTTTTAGCAGCTATTTTTGTGCACTTTTGACTGTTATCCTTAAATACAACTGACTGCAAATAAATTACCAGGGGGGGGGGGGATAGTCATAATGTTAGTGACTAGCAATATAGCGATTTATATTAAAAATACAATGCAGAGCTGTCATATTGGAAAGTAACCAAGCCTTAGCATGAAAGAGAGGTACGTGAGTAAGTCCACAGGAAGCCCAATTAAATAAAAACTTACATACAGTACATTGACATGAAGCCAGTATGTTATGTGTTGATTGCATTAGGTCATTAAAACTGTGAGCTGCTGACAGAGACTGTCTACCTCATCTGATTGACCTTTGTACTTTGTGACATCAACTTCTAAGGCTTTTGCAAGACCAGGAATCTGGAAATACAAAAGCATTGTATGGATATTGGTACCAATGGCTATTATATGGGTAGGAAATGTATGGTGCTGGCTGGCCATAAGAATGGTTATCGTATGAGTGGGAAATATACGGTACTGACTTACAGCACGTACATAGTACAACATGCCGTAACATCAAACGGCTTCCCATAAGGATGGTTATCATATGAGTGGGAAACGTACTATACTGACTTACAGCACTCATACATGGTACAACATGCCATAACATTAAGATGGCTTCCCATAAGAATGGTTATCGTATGAGTGGGAAACATACGGTACTGACTTACAGCATGCACATGCATGTGACATTGAAATGCAAGTAACTGTTTCTTGTGGGGGTCGGGAGGGGTGACCAGACACCTACTTCAACTTCTTCCCCCAATAACCACACCCTTACTTACCTCAGAGTTGTACTGCATGAATCGATGAAGCGCAAACAAGCAGTAATAGGCTGAAAATAAGAATAAATATACTCTTATAGATCCAAATTTACCAAAAAGTCTAAGAGTAGTAAACGAACAATTACTTTAAAAGATAAAGTTACGCTTTTGAATTTCAAGCAAGACATGTTTTTGAACAGTTTTACAATACAGGACTTCATCATCAGTTGCTAAATATAGAGTGACTAAATCACTCTGTACTAAGTGATTTCGCAACATATACCAATGAAAAGGTGTTGGTAAGTGTTCAGCCAACTTAATGACCACTTGCCGACCACTTACTAACACCTTATCATACGTTGTGAGTTTATCATGGTCACATACTTATTGTCTTGTCCGGTTCTCTAGTCAGTAATTCCATTACAGCAGTAGAACACTCAAATGCAATGTCGCTAGAGACCTACAAATTTTCCAATCAATTCACTAGTAAATAAGAAATCTTTAGTAGAGGCCAGTATGGGCACTGCAAGAGTTTCCTTGTGTCCTAAGACTAGAGACTTGTAACTCAAATGACGCATAATTCTGCCAATAGGTCACTTGCATTATATATAGCATCATTTACTACCACTACCAATCTCTTGCACACTTTGTTTTTTTTCCAGTTAATTACCACCAAATGTCTTCCTCACATGAGGAAATAGTAACTTGAAGAAAGAAAATTTGTGAAGCGTTTTGGTAGTGGTAGTAAAGTGACGGCATCATGCAAACAGCCAAGCGCTTAATAAGGGAATTTAAGATTTGCAAAATCTATGACGGGGACGTCAACTGGAAGTGTAAATATTTGTTCTTCGGGGTTCTGTGCATTGGAGATTTCATCCATAGGGAAGACAGATTTTGAAGGCGCGAAACCCAAAGTGCAGTAATTTACACTTCCAGTTGACGTTGCCGCCGCAAATTTTGCGAATCTTAAAGTCCCTGTAATTGCACACAGCACAGAACAGCAAGAAAGTTTTTTATTTCTTTTTCAAATTAAAAAATGATTAGAATATAATTGTTATCTTGTATACAAATAATGAAATAGAAAGTGTACATGCATGATGTGTGCTGTATGCTCTCATAAATCATGCGCTCCCAGCCAATCAGAATGCAAAGTTGAAGTTAAAGATTTATTTATTTATTTTATTTCTAGACACCTTGTACACACCTTGTGTCTTGCAACATTAAAAGTAAGTTCACTAGCAGCAAGTTGAACATCGTTTTCTCCTTCCAGAAGACAGTTTGTTAAGACTGATAACATGTGAGGCTGTGAAGCCGTGTTGCTTAGCAACAGATCATGCCCAGGTTTTATACTCACTGCATTACATAACTGTGAAAAAACAAATAGACATGTCTTGATGAAATTCTCCTAATATTCTTGTACAACGATTTGATTGATTGGACGTACCATTTGTAGAGAAGGCACTAGAATGATCTGACTTTGCTTGGATGGACAGACAGACAGCTCACTTATCAACTTGTACAAAATGTCTTGAGCTGCAAATGTCGTACACCATCAATATCTCATGGAATATTGGTATAATCCCTTGGTATGGTGTTGATAATAATGATGATGATAATGATAATGGTCATAGCAATGATGGTGATGACATATCAACACTGGCAATTGTGGTACAATAATGGTGATGATGATGTTAATGCTGATAATGATGGTGATGATGGTGATGATGATGATGGTGATGATGATGATGATGGTGGTGATGATGATGATGATGATGGTGATGGTGGTGATGATGATGATGGCGGTGGCTATGATGATGATGATGATGATGAGAGCTTGTATGGCAGATATATACCTTTTGGATGTTCCAAATATGATTTTTCTAAACAGAGTCCTTTCATTACTCCAAGAAAATTTAATAAAAATCTAGGCTTGTCTTTCACTTCTTTCATCTTGGAAAACAGTTTTTCTAAAGAAAAAAGGTGACCAACTGTCAACATATTAAATAGAAGAATATCCTAAAACTAGGAGCTAGTCTTTAACTTTCTGGCATATGAATAGAATAAGAAATACAATTGTTCTTGTTTATGAGGGCAAACCTTTGCATCTAATCAACAGAAGCCCTTATCCCATAGAATTGGAGAATTGACTGGTTTTTGAGGGCAGGGAAACCCGCAAACCTTGAAAAAAACTCTCAAAACAAGGGAGAGAATCAACAAGCTCAACTCTACTCGAATCATACCCTGTGAGCACAGTCTCCTTTTACCTCCTCTATGGGCGTAGAGGAGGTAAAAGGAGACTCTGCTCGAAGGGTACTTGAATCAGTGAGTGCAGCAATTGCCAGCCCACAGACACAATGCATTTGTAGCATCATACACTACTAAACTTCCCCAACAAAGTTACAAGTCAACTAGAGTACAAACACTATAAGTGTGCAACATAAATACCACTAAATACTGYTAAATTATGATAATCCTATTGTTTTCTATTGTTTAATTAGCACTATTAACTACTAAATAGTGCAAAGTGTTGCACACTTTTAGTGTTTGTACTCTATCATTATAATACTAATATTAATAAATATATTTATAATAACTATTCTATACCAATGCTGCTCACGAATTCCTCTGAGATTACAACTTCCTTTTTCTTCAATAACAAACTTTCGATATCGTCCAAACAAGATTCAAGTTCTGTTCTATCTTCACCAAGATCACTTTGCAGAGCTTCTAAAATTTTTGTGACATCTTCAACATTATGAACGACTGGTACAGGAAGACTTTCATGATTGGTTGATGGCTGGTGCTGATCACTCCTTGGTTCAAAGATGGATTCTGGGTTACTGGATTCCTTAGCTTTAGAGGATGGATTGGGTCTTGGGTGTGAACTAGAAGAGGAGGAAACGTGGCCTGAATCGTCGACTGTCGATCCTCCTGCAGGAGTGACTCTCATGGAATCAACGATAGGCTTAATCATCTGACCAAAAGCACTAAAAAAAAAAATTCACAGTAAATACCATAAAATTCCATGGGGGATCTTCTATATGGAACAATATGGTTTGAAGTTGAGATTGAACTTGATTCTTTTATTCATCAAATCCAACCTCGACTTGAAACCATTATTTGGTGATCAGTCAAGCGAATTCGGGATAGGTCTATTGTTTTATGGTATCGTTTGTTTTTATAACCAGAAGGGAAAAAAAACCTTTGCTATACTTCCAGTCTACCTTTCCTTTTATTATCGTCATAAAAGACTGGCCCGGGGAAGAAAGGGGGTGGGGG